TATTACCTAATTCAGTTCTTGTCCTGACGAATCCCCTTATAAACCAATATGCTAGCACTGGCCGCGTCTTTCCATGCGTCCATGCGACACATCTCATCGCCCTGCTGCTTCTCTTCTCCTTCTACATCTTCCCTTCAATGCTATCCTTCGCGCTCATCTCCTTCCGCTTTCTGCTACCATCCCTTCCTCACCTCTTTCGGGTGGTGGGGGGTACATGAAGGAGGGAGGAGGAGGAAGGGAAAACGGGAGAGAGAGGGGAGAATTGTGAAAAGGAGGAGAGGGAGAGAGGGAGAGAGGGAGAGAGGAGTTGGGGGAAAGAGAGGAGGGATGCCAAAGTTGAGAGCGAGAACTAGTAGACGATAGGGAGCGAGGGGGCGGGTGCGGCAGAGAAGGAATGTGTTGCGAGCTGACGATGGTGCAGGGGCGGGTGCTGGTGGGCGTGGGTTCTGCTCTCCGAATGTACGAGATTGGGAAGAAGAAGCTGCTAAGGAAGTGTGAAAGCAGAAAGTTCCCCAACCTGATCTGCTCCATCCACACCCAAGGGGACAGGATCTTCGTGGGAGACTCGGCCGAGTCTTTCTCCCTCCTCCGCTTCAACAGCCTCAGCAACTCCTTCGAGCTCTTCGCCGAGGACGCCAGGGCACGCTGGCTTACAGCCTCCTGCCCTCTTGACTTTGACACCGTTGCTGGGGCAGACAAGTTCGGCAACCTCTTCATCTGCAGGATCCCAGAGGAGGCAGCGTCGGAGCTGGAGGAGGAGGGGGAGGCCGTCCAGACCGACAGTGTGCTCCACAGGGGAGCCAAGCACAAGCTGGATGAGGTGGCGCACCAGTACGTGGGGGAGGCTGTGCTCGGGCTTCAGAGGAGCGCGCTGGTTCAGGGAGGGACGGAGGCGGTGATCTACGGAACGATCCTGGGGGGCCTGGGAGCTCTGCAGCCGTTCGTTTCCAAGGAGGACGTTGACTTCTTCCTGCGGCTCGAGATGCTCCTGAGAGGAAACTTGGGGGTCCGGGAGAGCGTCAACGACAAGAGGTCGGGAATGCCTCCACCACCACCCCCTCCCCTCCCTCCCTCGTCTTACTGTCTTCCTCCGCCCCGGTGTTGACTTGCTTCAGCAGCTTTGACAACCCGAGTCTTTGTGGCAACGACCAGCTGGGCTTTCGCTCCTACTTCGCTCCCATGAGAGGAGTGGTAGACGGAGACCTCTGCGAGACGTTTCACACCCTCGACTCCGGCAGGCAGCACAAGGTCCTTCCCGCTACTCTCAGCTTACACTGGCCCTCTCCCTCCCCCTTCCCTCCCTCTCCCTCGGTCCGTTCCCTAGTCCTTCTCTTCCCTTTTCTCTTCCTGCCTCCTCCTTTCTCCCTTCCCTGCCCCTTCCCTACCTTCCCTCTCGTCCGCTTTCCCTCCCTACTTTCGCTCCTGGTCGCTTTTCTCACCTCCCTCCCCTTGTCATCCCGCCACTGCCCCCTCAGGCTCTGACGTGTCAGCAGGTGGCTGCAGAGTTGGGCAAGACTCCCGAGGAAGTAGCGAAGAAGATTGAAGACATGCGCACGAGACTTCTGTGAAGCTCCTTCCTTCTTCCTTCTTCCTCCTCCTCCTCCTCCTCCTCCTCCTCCTCCTCCCTGCCCCCTCCTCCCCCATTCCCCCCACGTCCGCCGCCTCGAGCATTTTAACGGAACCTAATCATTCAATGAAAGTGTACATCCCCACCTACAGCCCCAGCATGGAGCTCATGGAGTTGGCATCCTCCTTCCTCTTGCTCTCGATCTCCTCGAGCTTGTCCTGCCCAGCAGCAAGTCAGCACTTCTTCAACAGAGCGCTGTACATCTCACCCGGGCTGACTGCCTCCTCCTCCTCAGCAAACTCCCTTGCGTCCTGTTCTGCCTGTTCTCTAACTGCGCGCCGACACCGACGAGACCGCTGAGAGCTCCCGGGCTCCCTCCTAGCGAGTTCAAATCCTTGACGCCTCTTCTTCCATCCTCTCCTCCTTGGATTTCTTCTCCCCCTCCTCCCGTCTCCTTTCCTCCTCCTCGGTCACTGCCTTCTCCGGAGTCCTGACCAAAGTCTCCTCCTCCTCCTCCTCCTCCTCCTCCTCCTCCTCTGACTTTTGTCTCCTCGCCCTCTTCGTCCTCTGACCCACTTCTTTTGCCTTTCCTCCGCGCTTCCTCGCAGCTCCTGTACGTCCGTCAGCAACGTCTCGCATCCCCAACTCACCCACCTTGCTCCACCAGCAAGTCCTCCCACGACCTCTCCTTCTCATGCTGAGCCTCTCCTGCTCTCCCCTCCTCTTCCCCTCCCCAGCTCCCTCCACCTCCTGCTACTCCTGCTGCTGCTGCTGCTGCTCCTCCTCCTCCTCCACCAACCACCACA